ACACAAAAATGAAAAAAAAGATGACGAAACTGCACTCGATGTACTATATAAAAAAACTATAATGCCGTTATCTCAGACAACTGTGACAAGAAAGACATAAACCACAAGAAAAAGTTATGCGCACTCCGACAACATACATGACCTGGTGGTTGTACTCAACAGCACAGGTAAAACAAGGATGCACTTTCAGAGCCAGCACTCAAACGCGAAAAACAAGCAGAAAACCTGATGGCCACCGCGGAATGCATGATAAAAGCATGACACATAAGTCATAATCGATTTTTCGTCAGGTTTTTGGCTGTAGACCAGATCTGAAGACTAATTATGCTGGCCAACTGGCGGGAGCTTTTTGTTGGAAGTTAAGCTAGAACATTATTTACTAATGTTAAGCAGTAATATCATTTCTGCTAGAGAAATATGCCTAAATCAGTACCTGATATGCTTAATGTTATGTCTAAACACCTAAATGTGCTAGATATGCCTAAATCAGAAATACGGTCTGCAGAAATAAGCTATTTTCGCTTCTCAATAGAAATTTTTATTTCTCGACACATTTTACTTGGCACGCCACAATGAAAAATATCTAGAAGTCGACTGCGGCACTGAACAGAGCGCACTGCACTATTCTCAGATGCTCAAACTACAAGCAAAAATTCATATAACTTCGGCGAGTTTGGGTATGTGCTCCAAACTGCGACTTTTTGTCCAGCTTAATTAGTTTCTTAAATTTATTTAATGACGAAAGTTCAAATGCATGAGAACACACGGCCATGATAAACTGAATAGGCGATTGGGGGATGGCAGACCTAAAATTCGACCTGCGTAGAAGTAAACGAATTTATTTTCACAATCCATAAAAGCCGTCTAGCACCGGTAAACTCAAGCATAAGCATGTATTACTCGCCCTCACAGACAAAATGGTGGAGGCCATGTTTTCAAGTGAAGAAAAAAGCATACCTTCCGGATCGAGCATTCTTGGGATATCCAGATATTTTTCCGCCACATCGAATGCAAGGTTCAAGTTGTGCAGTGGGTCGCCTTTGTGTAATGTCGAGTAATCAATCAATTCCGGGCGATGACGATGGATCAAAGCACAAAATGCTAAACCATCTTTCCAACTTAAAAATAGTTTTTTTTAGCTTTACTATACGAAGATTTGTGGAAAAAATGGCTTTTTTTTATTTCCAAAGCTCCCTTTGAAAACCCATAAAATCCAAAACTTACACCACCTTTCATTCTGTGAGCTTATTAAAAAGTGAGGAAAGTCTTTGGAAACTGCGGCCAGTGAAGGAAACGACCGCTGTCTGTGGGAATTTTCCTGATGGTGTAAGTTCATTTTCTTACCTTCAAGATAAAATGTCTTAACGCCGAAAAATTTCAAGTGAATAGAAATATGGCGTAAAAAACTATTTGTCACCTGGTATGGAAATTTTGTACGTTGACGTTATTGTAAGGTGCTGTTTTTCTCTGGCACCACAACAGTAATCCATCCCGTGCAGATAATTCTAAAAAAAGTCTTCGTTCGAAAAAAGGTGGCAAAAAATAAAAGAAAAAATGTAAAATAAAAGATAGGATGAAAAACGGAAAAATTTTCGCCCCAAAAAGAGTAAAATCTTCGTCAAAGTAAAATATGCAGTCATGAAACGTGACTGTTTTTGCTTAAATCTGAGCCTAAGACGAGCGGCACATTCTTAACCTTCAACATTGATATCCTGAATTGCAAATCGAAGAATGATAGTCCATATTAGACCAAGCGTCATTTTCACGTTCCCGTCAACAATTTCTGCAA